CATCCGATGTCTGTCTCTGGCAGCTACATGGCATCTTGCTACTCTGCCTTCTTCCTCCCAGTTTAATTTTCCCTGACCAGCTCTACTCTGCCCCATCACAGGCCAAGCCAGCTTTTTATTCATTAACCAATGAAAGCAACACATACACAGAAGGGCCTCCCACCCCACTTGTGCCTTACAGATTTCCACAGCTTCCCCTCGCTGGTGTGCTTGTAGATTGCAGATGGCTTTGTTGTATTTCTGCCTAGGATTAGTTTCCTTAAGCCATTCATTTTTAATCTTTTGCTTTCACTTCTTTTTTCCAAATAAAGTTCTTGCCACATTGCCTGGCTTTGAACTCTTCTGCTCAGGAGAGCCTCCTGCTTTAGGACTAGCTGGGATCACACAGCGCCACTCACTCAGCGCATCCATCATTTATGACCCGTGAAGAGAGCTCCTGCTCTCCAGGCTTCTAGGTCAGGTCTCCTTTCCTCTTTTACATCCACAATGGCTCACTAATCCCTGTTAATTGGGTTCCTAAAAATAAGCTAGTATTTACATCATTAAGCCTAAAGATAGTGGCTTAGGGTCGTTTTTGTCCCATGGATTGAGGACCCTTCCCCTGATTGTGAGCAAAAGCTAAAGATCCCCTTTACATCTTGTTCCGTCTATGCTGTAAAAGCTGTTACAGCCTAGCTTCCCTGGCTTTCTTTGGGGAGAGAAGCGAGGGGTTGGCTTGTAAGACCTGTCACCTGCTGTGTTCACTCATCAAGTATCACCTGCACAACTCCCCACAGCCCAGAAAAACTCAGAGATTTTAGGTGAAAACTTGCAATAAATTTTTATATGCACACACTAAAAGTGACCTCAGAGTTGGGATATGCCTTACTTCAGTATCCTAGCAACCAGAAAGAAAAATCTCTAAGAATGACTGGTAGCTGCCTTTGCTTTAAAAAGACCAAGTTTTAAAAAGACCAATGAGGTAATTTACAATGAAGACATCTGAGTTCACCATTTGCTGGTTACACAAACTTTGGGGAGTATGGCCTCTGTGTTATCTATTTGCTTGTGTGCAAAGGCAGCTAAATCTGTCTCAAAACTATTAAATAACTACAAAGTGGACTTTTTAAAAAGAGTGAACTAGAAACAAGAGAACTTACCAGAAAGCAACTATAACAGGCTCTATGCCAGAGAGGTTCTCAACCGGTGGGTCAAGACCCCTTCAACAAACCTCTCTCCAAAAATATTTACGATTTATAACAGTAGCAAAATTAGTTATGAGGTAGCAATAAAAATAATTTTATAGTTGGGGGTCGCCACAACACGAGGAACTGAATTAAAGAGCTACAACGTTAGGGAGGCTGAGAACTACTGTGTGCCTACAACTGTCCGGAAAGGTCCAGCCCACCCATCTCGACAGCTCAGAGCTACATTCACCCAGCACTGCCTTACAGAGAAAGGCTTCAGTGAGGCTCTATGGTTTGGACTTACAACGTCTCCTAAGGGCTTGCTCCCTAGTGCGGCCTTCATCAGGGTGACTGACAGAGCTATATAGCTAAATGGACTAGCGTAGCGGAAAACAGGAGGCCTGGTTGGAGGTAGTGGGTCACACGAGGTGTACCACTGAGAGACTGGTCCCCTGGTTGCCTTCCTAGCTGCCATGAGGCCAGCAGTTGCCTCTGCCACATACTCCCCTGCTGTGGTAATCTAAGCTCAAATCCAACAATGGAGCCCACACCAACCTTGCCACCTTTAAGGTGTCAGTCTCAGCATTTTGTCACAGTAAAAGCACTACCTACCATTCTTATGACTTAACATACCCTGTCACGACGCTGAGGCACGTTTTCACGTGAGGTAGGTACTGTTACTGCTCATGAGCCATTTATGTAAGATGCCAAAGATGAACCCTAAAAGAAAATTTGTAACTTGGAAACATGACTAATTAAGTCTTCTACACTAATTCCTTTGAAATGTTAATTTTATACTGGCAAAGTAATTACATGGTTGTGAAGACAATTCAAACCACATATGGCCTTCACTTAAAAGCTTTCTGCAGTCAATATTCAGTAACTGCTCACTTAAAAAGATGGTGAACTGCTCTCTTCCCTCCCTCCTGGGCCCAGAATTCTGAGTGCTGAGGACTGACGTCAGCGAGGTCAAGGGTTCATTCAGTTAATGTGGTCTGGGAAGATGTGGTTGAAATCAGGTCTTTGTTTGAATTTGGTTTTGAGACAGGGTCTCTCTTACCGTATAGCAGAGCTCGGTCTGCCTCTGCCTCCCAAGAGCTGGGATTAAAGGTGTGCACGGCCACCACCCAGCAAGATCAGTTTTGACTGCCTTGCGATTGATTGATCAATGTGCTCAGCAGTGCTCAGAAGCTAAATAGCTAAATAGATTCATGACTGAGGATCTATTTAGCTGATGAGATGCCTAGTGAGGAGGGATTTAAGTCTGGAAAGGAAGGACTAGATTAAGCGCTCAGGAACTTAAATTTCACCTAAAGGAGCAGTGAGCTTTTTGGAAAATACCTAATTCTTCATCCGAGATATGGAAAGTCAGGTGACTTTGTAACATATTAACATACCTCCTAAATAAATTACCAGTGAGGTGGCCATACCAAAGGGTCACAAGCCACCTTGAAAAGACTCCCATAAGTCAATTCTGGGGAAATTTCAGCACTAAAATAAGAGACGTATCATAATCTACTCTGTGAAAAAGGAATCTGAGTCTCTACTGACGAACATAAACAAAGGAAGAGACAGTTCTTTACAGCAAAATCCCAAAGCATTGAATTCACCATTTGGCAATCAAAATCGTCGTGACTGATTCAGACAAGAATTGCCAATGAACTCAAAACTAGCTGTTGGCAAATCAGGGAAAACATTTATAGTTCCTAGGAATCTCCTCCCAATGTGCTTATGCTTTCAAACGTTCATCTTTTACTGTGTGGCACCTGCACATCAGGGCGTACGGTGGGGGTCAGAGGACAGCTGTGTGGGGTGGCTTCTCTCCTCCCACTTTTACTTGGGTCCCAGGATTGAACTCACATCACTAGATGTGCACTTCAAAAGCCTTTACTTACCAAACCAGCCCCCAAAGTACATCCTAACTACCAGCTTTACAATGGGAAAGTTTCCTGGATTTTATCCTAATCAAATGACCAAAGACAACAGCACCAGGGCAAACAGATATTACTCATCTCCTAGTATAGCAAAAACACAGAACCATTGTGATATTTTTTGACAAAAAAATGTATATCCTGACCCTATCTGTGCAGAAACATCACATGAACCCAAACTGTGCTCCTTAAGTATTGAGGCTATGAGGCCAAATAACAAATAATTGTTCCAGATTGGAGGAGACCAAAGAGGACAACTAAACACACCATGTCATCTGGGATTGGGCTAACGGCATAGATAGGAACATTAATGGGGGCAATCAATAAAGTTTGATCTATGATTAGACATCACTATTATGTTAACCTGAATTTAATGGGTATACTATGGTCATATATAAGAAACAGTGGTTTCCAATTCATATATATTAATATATTATACTCTGTGCAAATGACTTGGTATGAACTAAAATTTTCTGCTCTGGATATCTTTCACTAGATTTGTTCTAGTGAAGAAATGAAGTCCCAAAAGCTTTCATTTCTGTTAATTGCTGATTCACAGGGAAACTGACTTCTGTGTACCGACTGTGAGAACTCTGCAGACTGTGGTCTGAACCAACACATTGCACCAAGAACACCAGCACGCAAAATTACTTCCTATCTTCAGGAAAGGGAAAAAACAATTACATGAGCCATAACTTACTTAAAAATACACGGCAGTTAAAGTGAAGAGATGTAGCTATGTCGATGCCACGACACAACGACAGCCGTAAATAGTGAGGTGCAAGTCATTCTGCTTGTGAGATCACTAGGCAAATCTCCACAGTAAAAGAATTAGCCTGCCTATAATAGAGCAAAGTTATTTAAAATAATCACAAGTCCTGTTAAGTCTGTTTAGGGAAGTATGATCAATTTTTCATAACTGCTTGCCATAAAGCTTTCTGGAGGTCTGGAAGCTCCTTTTCAGGACTCCTAGCTTCTGCTCCTTCCCCCTGCTCATGTCCATTTCCGGATGTCATAAAATTACTCCCAGGGGGTGGCTGCCGCTACTGGGTGGCAGGCACAGCGCGTGCATTTCTGCTTACTTCTCCCAGGAAAACAGAATAAGCTGGGCCAGAGTCAGGAAGCCCTAATGGAAGAGAGATCTGCAGAACCACTGGCAAAGTGGGGAACAGAGGCAGCTTCACGTGAGGAGACTCACTGACTGCGTTGTCCCCAGACACTCGAACTGGAATTAAAAGTACACTTTACCAGTCTTAGAGTGGGATGGTGAGGTTGTGGAGACGGCCAGCTATGCACACCAGCGTAACAGAATGAACATGCTTACTGCTCCTTCCTGAGTCACACATGTAAAAATGATTCACACAGTCATCTTGAGGTGTAGTTCACAGTAAGAATTTTTAGAGGAGTATCTGTTATAGTTAAATACTCTCTGATAATACTGACTACTATCGCAGTCGCTAAGAGCACCAACCATCAAAATCAGAGAATCCTTTTGTTTTAGGTCTAACTCTGCCGTGAACCTGTGGAACCTGGAAGTGTGTCACCTGAGTGTCTACTGCCGTCAGTGGAGGGGAATAACACGCTCACCTGCACATATAGGTTGGGATGAAAACTTATTGAAACTTTGTAAATCTGCGGATACAGAAGGGGCTCAATAAATGCTGGCTGACTCATTTTAGGTTTTCACAGCAATAGGGTGTGTGGTAAGAATAAAAACAAAGTTGACTGTGAAAAAGCTGGTTACTATCCCCCCAGCTCTGAAAGACAGAGATGCCAACATAACCTGCTACAAACACCCCACGCTGTAGTGAAGGGATGCATGACCCTAGGTCAATGGTTGATTACAGCCAAGAGCACAGCTTAGGCTGAGCAGTGTCAGACAAGCCATGAGAACCTCAAATAATTTAACAAGTGAATATGTACATATATTTATCAAATATAACAAGGTCATACAAAAGCATATAAGTCACACATACAAAAGGCTACTGTATTTGTTTGTCCCTTTTACATCCTATTTTAGACAAAACGACGACACAGAAGGTAACAGTAACGTACAGGTTCGGAAAACAAGGGTTTTGTTTTTTTAAGACACGGATCTGATCATCTACATCTCTCAAATTTCTAAACTCTGGGGATCAACTTAAATAACTCTTCACTCTCTTGAATGAACTATACATTTTCAATGGTTGAAAGTCAGGTAGAAAAAGTATACAAAATGATTCATAAGTCAAAACATTTCTTATAAAAGGAACAGTTTAAACAAAACCTGGGCAATAAAAAGAGGAAATGTACTGAATTTAAAAACTTTTGAAAATAGCATCTTTTCTGGACCACTATACAAAATATTTAAAGTTCAGAACTGTTAAAAAACAAAAGTTTATATAGACAAAACTAAAAGATAAAACAAAACCCTCAAACCCTTACCAAATGTATTAAAACATCTAAAGCCAAATAAAAGGTAACGGAACTATATAGTTCAGGTTTAAGTGCATTTTTTTGGGTACAGTTAAACCACATGTAAAAATTGGCAATTAAAATATAATTAAATACAGATTGGCAAATCCTTTGGCCATTATGTAAATATTAAAAGGTGAATTTCCAATTGAAAAATAAAAGCTTACATACAACTCAGAAGCACAAATGGTTAAAGACGTCCTAGGAAACTGTGGGGAAATCACAGCACATGACATCTTCCAGGAACAAGTTTCAGAAGGACTTTATAAATATGCACTTGACCTCACTCTGCACAATAAAGCTCATTTTCCCCAGCTGCACCCCTGCTAAAAGCTACCATATATTAAGGATGAATTTAAATGGATCATTTTATGGGGAAAATCAACTCTAAAAACCACGAATCCACGCATTTTCTTTACAGCTTCAAAGATCATCAAGCGAGGCATAAATGCAGTCTTGTCAGGTTGCTCTCCCGTCCCACATGACCGACAAACAACACAACCACTCACACACAGCTCTGGCAATCCTATACAAAGGGCCCTGTCCAGACATTCCTCTTGCAAACAAAACAAAACAGGGTATCTGAGTTCTGACAACCCTACACAAACTGTGGAATTTCATCTTCAAGGTCTTCAAACTGCTGCATTCGTTTTAGCCGTGGTCTCTGGCAGGTTGGAGTCCCCTCAGACAGCCCAGGCTCCTCAGAGTTCTCTTTAGGTTGACCACTTGGCTGCACAGAGCAAGTCGACAGGACCCTCGCGTCTGGGTCTGACTTCACCACAGGACTTTGGGGAACATGCAGGGTGGCAGGAGGCACAGCTGCCGAGGGCACTGCTGTTTTCTCCTCAGTCCCCCTGACACTGAGGGTGGGATTAGGCGGTTTGTAAAATGTTGTCCAGTGCTGGGGCTGCAGCGTTCTGGGTGCTCTGACAGCAGCGACAGGGCAGGAGTCCGAGGCCCTCCGCTCTGATGTGTCCCGTGCTGACTTGGGTGGTTCTCCCTGCAGGTTACTGGCCTGCGCGGCACTACTGGAACGGTCCTCACTACTCCCAACGTTTGCTGCCAACCCCTTCTCTGAGTGTGTACTGGGCACAATCATCGTAGTCTTGGCAGTAAAACTGTTCCGTTCATATTGCTTATCCCAGGATTTCTGTACACTTTGCTGGTCAAAGCCATTAACTTTGGAGCTACTAGTGTTTGAGTTGTCTTTTCTATGAAGTCCTTCAAAGGCAGGATTCTTGCCAAATCTGTCTGACTCGCCATTTCCTATATTCCTGCTGCTCTTCTCAGTAGGAGAACTTGCAAGAAGCAGCAGCCGATCTACAGGCAAACTTACAGGTCTCATCTTGGTCCTTGGAGTGTGTCTCTGCACACTGTTTGCTGCCTTATCAGATTTCAGAAGAAGTAGCTTGGGGCTTTTACAAACACCTTCCATCTTTTGGGATGCTGACTCAAGCTCTCGGTCAAAAGGCAAATGTACTCTGTTGTCTGGAAAAGAGAGTGGCACACTGACTATTAGCATTAGAGTCTGCGCAAGACAGAAGACATTAGATAACAAAAGTCATTTAAATGTCCAGCATGGTACTCTCACTTGACTACACAGAAGACCTAGCAGTTCTTTAAAGACACAGTTTGAATTTAAAAGTTCATTTATAATTTTAAGTTTTAAAAAACAGCCATTAAAGCACTTGCAATTAGTTTAAAGCAGAACAAAAACAAAAACTACTTGTCTAGTAATTTGTTTTAATGCGCTCCCCATGAACGAGTACTTTCTAGGTCAAAAGATTCAACAGGCAGATACTGGTGAGTTAACTCAGAAAAATTATACCACCTTAGCCCAACCAAATGCAGGCATGCCCTGAATCCCAAGATCTCAAGACACCCCACCTGGTCTGTCTTTAGCTGTATTTATTCCACAGTTCTCAGATAATAAACTGTAACATCCAGTAGGTCAAACTAAGGATGAAAACACTGTCATTGAATCACAGGTGGTCTCAAGGCCACACTTTCTCACCCCAAGTGCTTAGATCCCCGTATTCTGTCCTTTTCAATTCTTGCAAAGGTACTGCCCAGGGTCCCCATCTCTTTGATGCTAAGACACAGCAAATGATACTGTTCTGACTCTGAAGGAGCAGCTGGCTGTGACCCTGTGACCAGGTATTTCCCCACATTCCTGGACAGGTTGGACATGGTTACAGTGACCACCAGCATCACTGACGGTCGTCATCTCATCTGACCTCTGTTCACCTTGGACTGGTGACCTTTTTATTTGTGAAAAAGATGAATGATGTTTGTCTGTGTGCACACGTGCACGGGTGCTCTCAGACTAGGTGCTGAATCCCTCTGGAGCTGGAGCTGAAGCTCTGTGCAGCTCTAAGCAGCCTGATGTGGGAACTGGAAATGGAATGCAGGCAACTCAGAAGTCACTCTTTCCAATGAGCCATCTCTCCAGCACCCAGATGATCTTTCTTCCCTGGGTTCTTCCCCACATTTATAGAATATGCTAAGGGACCTTACTCACTGCAGTGGCCTGCAAGAACCAAAGCACGCGCATTCCTTCATTTCTGCAAGAAGAGTTGCTAGCATAACAGAACGTAGTGTAGGCTCTAAGTCTGCCTGGTCAGTTCTTGGTCCTGATCTTCACTGGACAGATCACGCACTGTCTCTACCTGGCTTCACTCGTCACATAAGAATGCATCTAAGTTGTTATGTGATCTAAATGGTCTAACAAGTACCTAGAACTTTCTTGTATACAATGAACACTAAATAATATCTTCAAATTATTTGTTTATTATTATTCCTAACTGGGAACCTAATTTCATAGGGCATGAAAAAAATAGGTTAGATTTATAAATCAGAGTTAGATTCAAATCCGATCTGAATAATTCATTAAACATATGACTTTTGGTATCATTTTTCTCTCTCAGACTGTGAGCTATGAGTGAGACCAACGCCATCTACTTTCCAGTACAGATTGCTATGAAGATCAAATCTGAGCAATGGAATGCGATATTAATCTTAACTGTCAACTTACTGGGTTGAACAGCAGACCTCTGGGGTGACTACAGTAATGTTCCCAGTGATAATTAGGGCCACGCTGGCTCTAACCTGTCATGAGATTTCAATCCGGTTAGCCAATGACTTGGGGCTCTAGGGCGTGGTCTTGTCTGTTACATGATAGCCGACAGGCTAAGGGGAAGGCAGCTTGCTGCTGGTGCTCGCTCCCCTTGGGCAGAACAACTGTGGCAGCGGCTAAGCTGAACTGTATCATTGCGTGTTTACCCCTAGTTTACATCTAAATACATCCTTTGGAAGCTCTCCTAGACTCTCATGGATTCACACTACACTAACCCATTAAATGGATTGATCTCTTTAAGAGATGATTGTGTGTATGTGCATGGTAAGCCTATGGTGACCAGAGGACAACTCTGTGGAGACGGGTTCTTTTGAACTCAGGTCACCTGACTTGTGTGGCAAATGCCTTTACCCGATGAACCAACTTGCTGGTCTGGTATTAATCTCTTGCTGGATTCATATTATAATGGCTACTGGGAAGCTGTTACAGCAGGTGAGGTGCAGTTGGAGGATGCAGGTCACAAGTGACACGTCCTTGGGGACTATATATTACCCTGACCCTTTCTGTACTGCTTCCTCCCTCTGCTTCTTCACCATGACGTGAAGGCTCTACTCCAGCACACCTTCCCACTGAGGCACGCGGCCCTCTCAGCTTCCCTGCCTTCCAGTTGTTCTCTCAGGTATTATGGGCACAGCGGATGCGGGGCATCAAGTACAAAAGTCAAGCAGGTTCTGCTCCCTGATATGTGATTACACATCACACCTGACCTTTCTGCCAAACTGGATTACAGAATTACAGTAAAAATATAAGCATTTCCATCAGTGTGACAGCTACCATTCAACAAAATCAGAGGAAAACTGCTGATGGAGAGATCATATCAAGGAAACAAAGGGTGTACACACAGGTGTGCAGAGTGCTAAAGGGAGCCCACAAGAAAAGCACACGAAAAAACGCTTGTAGTTTTGTAGTATAAACTTCTATTTTTAGAACTTTTGTTAAAAATTAAAAAAATCTTTTTTTAAAAAAAGATTTATTGCCGAGCGGTGGTGGCGCACGCCTTTAATCCCAGCACTCGGGAGGCAGAGCCAGGTGGATCCCTGTGAGTTCGAGGCCAGCCTGGTCTACAAGAGCTAGTTCCAGGACAGGCACCAAAAACTACAGAGAAACCCTGTCTCGAAAATAAAAAAAAATAAATAAATAAATAAAAAAAGATTTATTTCATGTGTGTGAGTGTTTCATGCGTGTACATATGTGCAACACACGAATGCCTGGGGCCAGTGAAGGCCAGAAGAGGACATCAGATCCTCTGAAAATGAAGTTACAGATGATTTTTAAGTCACCATTAGGTGCTGGGAATTAAACGTAAGTCTCCAAAAGAGCAACTCTAGCCAGTGCTCTAAACCACTGAGCCGTCTTTCCAGCCCCACTTTCAGGACTCTGCTTTGACTCGGCAATGCCTTGAACCACATTACAAAACAAGCTCTCCATTAGCACGCTGCTTAATATCTTCTGCCTTGACTTAAATGAACAAGAAGCAGAAGTCAAACAAAAACAGAATTTTAGCAGGAGCACAAAACCACTTAGGATCTCTAAAGTATCTTTTATAAATGTAAGGGCTGGGAAATGACTCAATAGTTAAATCACTAGTCCCACCCACAGTGAGGACCAGGGTATGCTTTCCTAGAACCCATGTTAATGTTGGGGATGGCTGGCAGCTTGCCTATGACTCCAGCCTCAGAAGGTAGAGACAGGCGATCACCAGAGCAAGCTGGCTACCAGGACTAGCCCCATCAGCAAGCACTGGGTTTGATTAGGAGACACTGCCTTAATAAAGAAGGTAGAAGAGTAATCAAAGGAGATTCACAACACCAACCCTGGACATCCATATGCATGTGCCCACATATATGAAAAATATGGATGCTCACACACACATATCACACATACAAATGGAAAAAAATAGAAGTATGTAAGGTACACTAAAAGGTAATTTTCTCAGTGGCTGGTATAGACTTTCTTAATAAAATGTGGAAGTTTGGACTTTCCTTGGCTTGTGCTGGTTTCTGCAGTACTGGGGATTGAACCTGGGGCACTCACCTTGGCTTTTAATAATAATTTATTTGTAAAGTTTTAATTTCGTACCCAGCTTCTTTTCATATGGCTACTCACCAACAAGAAAAGCATCAGATTTTCCCAGTGCATTTTGCTTGCGTTCTGAGTCTTCAAATGATGGAGCTAATTCAAAAGTTTTGTTCTCACAGTCTGCAGTATGAAAATCCTGCTAATGGAAGAGAATGTTCACACTTGTAGAAGCAAAGCATATTTCAAAAGAAACAGTTCAAAGACCATTAATTTACTGACATAATTTACTAACACCATACAGTTCTAACGCAATTCTGTAACAGTTAAAACTTTGGCTTAACAGGAAAATGTACTGTTCACCCAAGCCTGACAACCAGTGTGACCCTCTAGAGCCAATGTAAAAGACTGGATGTGGAGGCCTGTCTGAGATCCTAATGCATTTACAGTGAGGTCAGAGGCAGAGACCAGGAACTGCTCAGAAGCTTGCGAGCCAGTTAACTTAGATCATACAGCACAGTAGCAGAAACCAGACAGACCCTGACTCAACACTGGTGGATGGTGAAAATCAACTCCCCAGGGTTGTCCTCTGGCTTCTACCCTAGTGCCACACCATTCACAAGCCTGTCTTTTTGTTTGTGTGCATCCTTGGACACACACACACACACACACACACACACACACAATTTATTTTAAAAAGAAATAACTTACTTCCTTTGAAGAAAAAAATAGTGGCTTCATAGAATGATCTGAGTCTCTGTCATCTGGTGACAACAGAGGTCTTGGAAGATACCCTTGATCAATATGAGGTGCAATAGCTCCTGTATTTGATACAGCAACATCTTGAGGCTGGAGGGACCCATCGAAGATCTTCTGTGAGTGAGTAATGAGGAACTCTACTAACCGCGCCTGGTTAGAGTACTCAGCAAGAGAAGAGATGGTGACCGGAGCAGTTGTGGGCCTTGGCCTAATGAGACTTGGTCCAAATATCACCCCCAAGTTCTTAGAATTCATCTTGTTTTCTTCTGCATGATCTACCACCCTGCAAAGCACAACACATAAAACTTTATGAGACTTGGAAAGAGCAGATGGAAACCCTGTCTCCATCCTGTTTCTCTAGCAAGAGCTTGGTACACAGGAGGTACCCAAGGGACCATGTTGACTGCTTGAACACACACAAGCTACAAAAGCCTAGGGAAGGGTCAAGGGTCAAGTTGTGAGAGAGGTCTAAGAAAAATACACATTTACTTGATTAAAATATTGACCACATGCCAAATATGGCTTAGCATTTTTGTTTTAGGATAAAAACCGAGTAAAAGGAATTACTGCTGTTTCCCTGCAGATAAAGAAGGGATCTTAAAGATTACTTCTGTATATGCTTCCAGGTCTTTATAGCGGTGACAGAATATTACTGTCAATTTCTTATAACAAGGCTATTTTTCAAGCCTAGATGACTCCCTCCACTGCCTCCGTATTATACAGTCACTCTCACATTACGTTTCCTTTCAGCTCTTATCACCCTGTTTCTATGACACTCATGGAGACAAGACCCTGAGTTAAGGGCTCCACTCCAGCCATTCTCCTTATTCCTCCTAGAAAGATTTTACAGACAAATCCGATCGTGTAAAATTCCTGGTTCAAAAATCTTTAGTGGTACAGAAGCAAGATGGCACACCCCACTGTTAGGTATGCAAGATCTTATCAGTTCCCCCTATGCATTCTGTAGTGAGGCCTAACCACATTACTTTATTTCCTAAGTACAAACGGCTCCCACCTATCTGTGTCTGTTATCCTCTGCCTGGAATGCTCTTCTGAGCATTCTTGGACAACTGAGTCACTACTGAGTTCTTTAAGCCTTACTTGAGGGCTGCTTCCTCTGACTTACCCCACCTTCCTTTGCATGCTTATTGAACAAATCATGCTGTACCGTGTGTGTATGCAGGGCTGTAAGCCTACAGATAACAGAAATCCTGCTTCCATCCCATTTCTCCAATTAGAGGCAGGCACACAGCAGGGATCTGAGGATGAAGTTGGCTGCCTGAATGAACACTCACTCCCTTTCCTCTAACATGTTATAAAAATGAAATTCATTTAAAAACTACATGAGTATACTTAAAATATAGCATTAAAAATGGTAAAAGTTGCTACATTTTATTCAACAAAAAAAACTACCCACTAAACGAGGTTCTACTTATATAAAACTCTTACCGCTTAAGATGTACTATGAGATAATGAAGACTATTAAAATTTGATGCTGGCAACTGTCTCAGTAGGTCTTTGCTCCTCAGAAGAATTCGATTGATTTCTATACACACATGTGGGTGTTTTCTGTCTTCGGGGCTATCCTTTTTTGCTTCTTGTTCTTCATTTACATGTTGTATCTCTTTTGCAAGGTCTATAAATTCTTTGTATAATCTGAATAAAATAAATGGTTCTGGGAGCTGAAAGAATAAAATTACATTATGAATATTGTTGTTTTTTCTCCTGCTAGAATGTTAACTATTACTTATAGCTAATCAATGATTTATCATGTTCTTTTAGGTTAACAAGATTTAAAGCAGGCCTTTAACCATGTGTTTTGGGGCTGAAGAGATGGCTCAGTGGTTAAGAGCACTGGCTGCTTTTCTAGAGGACCTGGGTTCCATGCCCAGTTCTCACACAGTTATTCATGACCATCTGTAACTCCAGTCAGAGGATCTAACTGGGCTTATCCGGCCTCCTTGGGCATACATGTGATATAGACATACATGCAGGCAAAACATCCACACACATTAAAAAATATTAAATGTATATGCTACTACAGATATGACCTATCAAGATAATCTGAAATCATTGTCGTGAGTTAAGACATTAATTCACAGACGATGAAACTCTAAACCTGAAGGTTCCACAAGGGATTTAAAATGCTAACCTATGTCTCTATATATTCATTACTATCCCAAAGTCAGCACTGATTTATTAAAACTAATCTACTATAATTCACAGATGAAGCCACATGAATCAGAAGGAACAGACCATGCGAGTTCGCAGAGATTAAAGAGGGATCTTAGAGATAGAGAAGTTACAACAGTGGGAAGAGATGGAGCCCAGGGGATCTTCTACAAAGTACTGCGGGACAGCAAAAGCGGGAGAATGAGCAGAGACAGGGGAGCAGACCCCAGAGCCAGCACAGGCTGCCAAAAGCACCCAAAGCAAAGTTTGACCTGCAAAGTGAAGACATTTACTATCTACACTGTCGTTCCATTTACATCACAAGAACAGACATGAGCAAAACAGGGAAAAGAAAAACAAAAATGTGGGGTATTTTCTTCACAAAAAGAAATCTCAAGATAGCAGCTGTATCTTTTGTAAATGGACAAAAGGATGCAGATGGAACAGAACTCCACAGACTGATAGGTTGAGGACACACTCACTGCTGAGTGAGAGAGAAAGCACTGCTCTCTTTGCCACTATCTCTTCAGTTTCACCAGAGAACAGAATGCCAGATGGGCTTGGTCCAAGCAGTTTTTGTACCTGGTTCACAGCACTGTGCCAAATACCCATAACTCTCCATAAGCTTCTGCTTGAGGCCACTTATTTTACCCCATAGATATGTTTTCTTTGTAGCAGGCTCCCAATTGCAGATCCAATACTAAGCACAGAAAAAGAGAGCAGAGAATGGCCTACTTCCTGACCATATTTCTGTTAGTTTTCTAGTACTCAGCTTACAGGATAACTTTGCTTCTTGACCCAAATATGTACTTAAAGGTTTTTTTCCCCCACTGATTATCTAAAATAGCTATTTTGAAACATCAGGGAAGACAAAACTAAACTATGATTCAAACACTGCTCTGTGCACTGAATATTCATGAAACAGATTCCACACTGGCCTTCCCTTACAAAGCTAAACTATGCTTTCAAAGTCAAGTTCCTAAAACTTAGTACAAACATTTCACGTTATTTACTTCTTTAGGTCCAGGAAAACGTTTATTCCCTAAATGGTTAGGGAAGAGCTTCCATGTGGAGTCAGGAGGCTAGAACTGGAAAAGACACATGGAGGTCTTTTGTAAGGTAGAGTAATATTCTATGTTCGTATACTGAGATGAGAAATCAGTGTTTTGTTATTACTATTGTTAATTGTATATCTGACTTATTTGTGCTATGACCTATACATCAGTATGGTCTATGTCAATGAAAATACATGTGTACAAAGGTTATGAACTGAAAAACAAAATACATATCATGTTTACTGTTTCAATATGATGATGGATTATAATAACTTTACCTGTCGTAGGTATAATTTCAAGACATCACAGATGTCATGTGAACTGAATTCTGAAATGTCTACTAAGTGCATTCCATTTTCCAAAGCTTGGCACAGTTTTTCAGTTTTTATTTTGTTTCCACAAACACGGTAAATTCCCTTGAATAGAGAAACAAATTCTGCTTTAGTTCACATGGCCACTGTAGACATCTAAACATACTTAATGTGTCTACTTCATTTTTTTTTTTAAATTTTAAGAGGTACCTGGAGACACAAGGCTCTATTTTCAATTTCTGAGGCACATATTTTTAGTACGAAAGGGATGCCATCTGGTTCTTTTTTTGCAACTTGTATAAATTCTGCTCCAAATATGTGCATTTTCCCCTGAAGCTTTTGATGACCACAAATGATGACTAAATTCTCCAAACACTTTCGGTGACATACAAGAAGACACTACAAGAAGATAAGAGTTTAAAACTCATTAGCTCACCTTCAAACTATTCACAATTTAGCAAACTATAGATTGGTAACATAATTGAAAAAGTTTAGAGTGCATTATTGGTAATGTTAGTTAGAATAGCTCTAACTACCAAACAAAATACAAAACAAAAATACACTACAGTACAACTTATCAAAGTTATATTTGTAGGAGTGAAGAGATGGCACAACAGTTAAAAGCACTGACTGCTCTTCCGGACGCTGACATTCAACTCACAGCACCCACAGGATGGCTCACAATCAATCATCTTAACTCCAGTCCCAGGGTATCTGACATCCTTCTCTGGCCTCCAAAGGCTTGCACACATTTAGTGCGCAGACATACATGCAGGAAAACCAGCAATATACATAAAGTAAAAAAAAAATGTATTTGTAAAAGAACCTAATAAATAAAATCCTAACAAAAATGCAATGTATATAGTGAAATAAAACAATACTATTGAATGATGCAAACGTATGAAGATGCCACAACAAAATCTATCATTTTATATTCTAATCAAAAAAAGTGGTAAATCCACCAACTAAACAAGTGAGAGGATCAATGCAATTCCAAACAGATCTCACCTCTTCACATTCAACACCTGGGAACATTACGATGCCTTCACAATCCCGACATTTTGTGGGGGATCTCAACTTGCGAAACTTGTGCGTGAGAGCTGCCTTTGACATCAATGTTTTCTTAAATGCTCCAAGGGAATTGGGTCCTTGTAACAGAAACAGTACATGGGAATGAAAAGATGAAAAAACTTATTTGTTCTGAGTAATGCTTAGACTTTTCAGTTATCTACATGCTACAAAAAAACTATTATCTGGGGTTTCTAATATCAAAATCATCCAACTTATAGATAAAACCACACACTTTCATCAAATGGTTTAGCTGTACAGTCACCGACAAACCAGTGAGCTAATTCTAAGATACCATGACACGATGTTCTCAGGATGAGCAAGTTTATGCTTTTATGACAGTGTTCTGTACAGAGCAGGAAAGTGTGTTTATGGGTGGCATTATATTCCTAAGAAAACTCAATTACTACTTCAAAAGAGCTAGTAACATGAAGCCAGCAAGTCAGCAGTATGTGCATTAAAGACAGAACTAGCCTTATAGAATTACAGATTAATACTAGTTAGGTATATTTTTAAACCATAGTAGAAGTCAGATTCTTATTAATTTGGGAAATCCTGCCCCCAAAGACAGACATACGAATGTACCAAAGACACAAAACCTAATTTCTATGAGTTTAACTCAGTCATTAAGTCACTGACTTCTATGTCTTTAGCGCCCACAGCTTTCCTGCCCTCGTCAGGCTCATTTACCTGACATTCCTTTACTACTCTAATGGTTGCTTTGCAGTATCCGGGCTAGAAGTCCGGGTTTCGTGCATAGTACGGAAAAGTTTTCCCACTGAATTGTTTGCCCATAGCCCCTGCACTATTAAGACTGAGCTTTTCCAGAATTTTTCATGCACTGCCACCCTTTTAACAGAAAGTCACCATGTTGAACTCATGAGAGAACACCATATACAAACTGTTATCCAACACACTGCCGGTATGTTTGAGATCTAGAAGCTTTACTCCTTATTCTTGTGGACAATACTTCAATCGTCTATTCAAAAACTCAGGTCATTAAGTCATTAAGTATCAATGCATACTTATAAACAAACATGCAGCTATATATAAGATACATATAACAAAGTAATGATCTAGTATGATGCATTGCCACTAAATTCAATTGGTTTAGGGGGCTCTAATAGAGATGGATATAATACCAGCTTCTGAAGGGGATGGTGGCTCTCGTTCATCTAGATCATCAGCAGAAGACATGGTTCCACTGGACGGAGTGCGTGGAAGTTTCCGATGAAAGTCTCCTAAAAGAAAATTGTGGATACCATTACATTGAAGAACAGTGAAAATAAGTAATGATAACAATCTTGGAATTACACATTTTTTTCTACTACTCTCAAAATCTAGGTAACATTATCCATTCCTGACAACAAAAAGAATGTAAGAGAATCTAATTAAAAGAACAAACAAACAAACAAAAAGGCTGGGTGGTGGTGGTGCATACCTTTAATCCCAGCACTCCGGAGGCAGAGGCATGTAGATCTTTGTGAGTTTAAGGCCAGCCTGGTGCTACACAGAGAAATCCTGTTTCGAAAAATGAAAAGATTACATAGTCTTATGAGACCTTACTACCTACCCAGTTCTGACAGTAAGTACTTGAGGATACAGGCATAGCAAAGGCAGGCAACATCTTCTACTCATATTTTAATCATCTTTTGTTACTAAGTTATTACACAGTATCAGCATGGAGATAGCTATTCACATCAACATGGGTGAAGGAAGTCTGCCAGACTTAGTGGCGCTATATATATAGGCTGTAATCCCAGCTACTTGGGAGATTGAAGAAGGAAGAATACAGGACTCAAAGCTTGCCTGGACTATAGAATAAATTCAAGGCCTGCCTGGGTAGCTTGGTGAGACTGTCTCAAAAAACAAAAAATGAAAAAAACAGGCTTAGTGTATATGCAAGAGGTTTCAAGTCCAATCCCCAATACCAAATCAAAAGTAAGGGAAGGATTTTATTTTTATAGCATCCAAAAGAGGGTGAAGTTCACAAAATATGTCACCATAAACATTTAAACTAGTTATAGAATGATTTATTCTGGTGGGATTGGAGGTGATACATACACACACACACAACATACATGTGCACATATATACATATATGTGTATGTATATACGTATGTATGTTACTTATACATGTGTAGCAGTGGGGCTTCTCATGTACGACTTGCTGGGCTAGGTGATGATTCCATATAAAGGCTTCATCATTTTTCTTTAAATTACACATATGTATATATATTTTCTTAAGTCAGAGATAGATCATCCTAAAAATATGCTCATTAAAAATATTCCAAATGGACAATTTCAATCTTTCACTGAATTTTCAGTTAGACTTAAATATGTATATACCTGGACTTATAGACTCTGAATCCAGAGATCTAGATTCACTGCTCCCTCCAGTGCTCTCAGAGTCACTGAACATCCCGAACTTCCATGATCTTATGAAAGAAGGACCTATGAAGAAAGAATAGTTAAAAACTTGTCTATGGGTAGATTTCATAAGGTGAAATAATGACATTATGTAAAAAGAATAATGATGGCTAATTATGGACTTTGGAGACAGCACAGTGGTTAGCACTGTAAATGATCTAACAGTAGCCTAATTCCGGAGCTCAAATTAGGAACCGCATCTGAGCGCCCTACTGTAGGAAGCGCACCTGTCATGTCGGCACTGCTGGAGCACCTGTCCTCTTCCAGCTTACTGCAACTGTCAGGCAGGCGCGCCACATCCTCTAGAGAGCCAGCAGGTCCGTATCCAGGTGTCTGGGGACTACTGCTTATTTTTTTATTTACATTCCTATGGGGAAAAAGTAAATAAAGCTCAGCACTAATAGTCTATTAAGAAAACTTATTAATTTGATGAATAGAATAAGCAAGCTTACTAAATATGAATGACTATTATATAGTTCAGCTTCTTTTAAAGACGTGAATAAAGCCTTTACATAATGTGGACTTATAACAGCTGAAATAGGAAAGAGGTGTAATAAAATAATAGTCAATGTTATGATTGAACTTCTCTAATCTAACATTAGTGGAAAATGTAGGTTAAGTTTTTATATTCAAAATATGTAGGTCATCATTTGTTCTGCCCAAAGGATTTTTAAGACTCAGAGTGAAGTCTGTGTGAAAATGGAAAGCTTCATTCTCAAGTATGGTACATCTACTCCTTAAATGTGTTAAGAAACTACAAAATAATATGAAAGTATCAAAAAAATTAAAGTTATATATCAGTGTAAGAAAAGACAATTCCTTACAAACCTAGGAACTCAGCAAACGTTTTCTCTCTTGATACCATTTCACCTATACATAAATTCTTACCCATCAACCTTTTCTTCTAGCTCACTCGAGCTTGTGGCTTTCACGAATTCACTGTACTCCTGACCCGGGTCATAGAGTTTGGCAGTGTCACAGAGAGACTGTAAGCTGCTGGCAAGGGACGCAGCCTGTAGCTGCTGCATATGGAAGAGGTTAACTGTTACCTGCAGTCAAAGACAGACAGACAGACATAACTCATGAGATACAAAATGCTATGTAAACACATTTCCGTAAACCACACGCCAGTACACAGGTCGTGCATCTGACACACACCACGCTAAGTATCACTACCAGCACGCTATGCTGACTGTGGCGTGCACAACTTAGAACGGAAATCAAACAGCAGCTTTAATCTAACAGCTAATCGCGATCAGTTCCAACAAAATGGGCTTTAAATTACAACCCTATCCTTGCTAGTTAAGAGCTTTAGGGCATGATGTGTCTGAGGATCCCTAACTCTGTACTTTGATGGTTGAACCACAATTGTCTAAACTCCAAAATGATAAACACATGGGTGGGGGATCTTTCACTCATAAGCAGCATTATTTCGACTATTTTCGTTCTTTCCTTTTTAAAAGTTCTTTTCTTTGACATGAGGTCTTGTTATGTTGCCCATGCTGGCCTATAATGTTAGATATTTCTGTCTCAGTCTCCTAATTAGCTGGGTGGATACATTAGTCTACTAAGTTTAGACAACTGTCAATTCCTACTACTTACAGTAATGACTACAACAGTGGTTATAAAGCTCACATAATATGCCAGAATTCATAAAATATCTGAGTTTAATATTAACTAACTTCAAACACACACTATACGTTAGTATATTATAGCAAATCGATGGGATACTCATCCATGTATGTATGATCCTAAGGGTGGTTCCTAAAATACTTTGTGGTAGTAAAGAATGCTACAAACGTTATATAAAAATGTCAACTTGTGCCGGTGAGATGGCTCAGCTGGTAAAAGCACTTACCCACACAAGCCTGGTGACCGGAGTTCAAGTCCTGAAACCCATGTAAAGGAGGAGGGAAGAACCTGACTCCAGAAAGTTGTTCTCTGCTCTCCACTCAAATGCTATGGCATGACCATCTCTCCTCATACATACACACAAATACACACAACCCCCAAATACACCAATGACAAATTAAAAAGCAGCTACTGCTAACCCATGGAGTATCAGCATGTATGTAGGTTAGGGAAGGTTGAAGAGCTGACATGTGAAACATGGCCATGTGAGGAGAGCCAGGACATAGCTCCAAGGAGAAGGCCAACTCAAACCAAAGGGTGGACAGTGGGTGGGATACACTTGTGTTCCAGAGCAGACAAAAAGTCAGTGATCTAAAGCACACTCGAGGAAGCAGAGCTTCTGTTGGACACAAGGGCAAGAATGGTAGTAGTCAGTTCAACCATGGAGTCTGAAGGAAGCCAGCTAAGCAAAGCGTGGACTCATTTAGTCCTTAAAAAGCCACTCTGGATTCTCTGTGGCGAATATACTTAAAGAAAACAACATAAAAAATGCCAAAGTTTGATTAATGTTGTTTCAAAAAGACTCTTGTGCTTTTTCTTCACCACTCAGGGTCTATCAGATGACAGGAGGAACTCATTCCCACAGTCCTTTCCGAGTGGATAACACATTTCTCTAAGGATGTCAGTGAGCAAAAGTCGTATTTGAAAGAAGAGTTTGTGCTTTAACTCTTCAATTAACAAAGAAAATTCAGCGTTGATTTGGTACAGTTTAATCCAATGACTAGCTATATTAGGGCAGCCTTACGCTAATGGTAAGTTGAACTTGCCTGATCCAAAGAGTAATATATATGGGTGAGAGACAGTGATCAAATTAGTTATAATTTCTCTGTCCCAGAAATTTGAAAAAGTCAAGTTCAATGGATCATTTGAGAGATTTTGTTCAAATGCAGATTCCGATTCCCAAGTCTGGTTCAAAACCCAAACCTCTACATTATTTATAGGCTACAAGAACAGCAGCATGGTGATGGGTCCGAAGACCATGCACTGGGAAGAAAGAATGTCTAAACTTCTGCTTCTACATCAGTAAAATGAGCTAAAACTATGCTTACCTACTACGGCCTTCTGAGAACTAGGTACGTTCACGTAGCTAGATATCTTAATATACAGACAGATATGTACTCAATCACAGCTATTATCAGATATGCTTTGAGGGGAAGGGCATTTTATAAATATTTTATTTTATAAACTTGCAAGCTAATAATCAAAATTTGATTTAAAAAATGGCTTACAACTTTAAGAGCTGAAAACGTTTTAAAAATTTCTCACTGAGATGGAACCCACTGAAAAGTCCTGTTGAGAATCCATACTAATACCACCTATCTAAAGATATGGGAATAGATGACAATTTTAGGTGCATTCCTTGCTTTCTCACTCATTCTTTTTTCCAGCTTGCGCTGATTCCCACCAGTATGGATCAGGTATGGATACACAGAGCTTCGAGAGAGGGCCCCTGTGGACCAGAACAGCCAAGGGGCAGGAAATGTAATTCAAAAGTAGGAAGAAAGACCTGTTTTCTCTGTTCCATCTTCTCCTGCTGCACTCCTATAATCCCTGGGGCACAAACCTGGAGCAGTGATGGCAGTTACAGGAACTGAATATATCTAAAACCCTGCAGTGATCACTCCTTTAAGACAGATGAACTGTGTTTAAAGATTGGTGGTGGCTGTTGAACCTCCTGGAGCTTTTCACTCTTCTCTTTAGTCCTGCATCCCCCGCCACCTCCTCCACTTAATGATCAAGAATTGCTGTCTCCGACTTTTTGGAGAGCAGACAGTAGAAAGCCCTACACTTCTGCTTCCCAGACAGACCAAGGTGACAGGCAAAAAGTTAGGAGGGTGAACTCCTAGTTCAGTGGTCATGGATATTTTAAAACAGCATTAGGATCCAGTGTCACACAAAACAACACTGGAAATACCTAGGATAGCATTCAAAACGTGTTGTGGAATGCTGTCCTCTGGGCATGATGTGGCCTTCTTGAACTCTCAGCAGCTGTGACTCTCCTCCCCTCCCCACCCCAGCCCAAGGAAACACAGGCAGTTAACAGTTGCTGGGGGTGGGCACACACCAGACTCTTCCCCTAAAGGACATATAAGCAAACAACTGTTGGGGGGAAAACTACTCCTTTGTAGCTTAGTTTCTATGGTTGCCCATGCGTCTATAAACCCCAGTTAAACTGACCGGATCACTAAACTAGACTCCAGTGTTCTTTTGGCAGTTATTGGTACTTTATTAGAAGCAAGCAAACATTTGCTGCTGATGTCTTCCCAGGAAAAGTTAATATACAAAATTACTCGTGTATTTCCTGATACTGAAATACCAGGAAACTCTTAACCCCTGAAAAAGACAGATGCCAAGCTGAGGTAACTCAGGCACTAGGATGAAGCTTCGATGGCAGTTGCTAAAATGAGCTTTCGAGGTAAGGGAAGAACTGGAGAGATGGGGGAATGCTTGTCTCGAGTTTAAACTCCAGAATTCATGTTTAAAACACAAGAAAACAACAACAAAAAACAAATATGGCGGCCTTACACCCCAGCACTGGAAAGGAAGAAGGACCAGGTCTCTGGTGTTTGATAGCTAGCCATCCCAGTCTACTCAGTGAGAGACACTGTCTCAAAAGAAAAGAGTGGATGGCTCTTGAGGAATGATACCCCTCTGGCCTCCCATGTGTACAATTACATACACAGGCACACACACACTCATATACATAGAGGGGGCAAATGAGTTTGAAACCTGGAAGGACACAATCACAAAAAAACTGATGACAAGCAAAAAAGGAAGTTTCAGTATTGAAAAATAAAATTTCTAAAACAAAGTTACTGAAGAACTATATTGGAAAAGGAAAATAACAAAATAGAGGTAGTGTACTTGAAGGCAAATCAAAAGGACAATTTAATACTCCTCAGCTTATAATGTGACTATATTCACTAAACTATGGTAAGTGGAATATTTAATATTTCGATAAAACCATTGTAAAGATGAAAAATCTTAATAGAACTTGTTAAGCTGGGGGACTTCATATTTAATGAATACATATGTACACACACATACACATACATATGCAGCAATTTTTTTAAAAAAAAAGGCCATGAATTTGAAAGAGAACAAGAAGGGTTAAATGGGCAGAGGGGTATGGGATGGTTTGGAGGGAAGGAAAGAAGAAAGGAAAAGAGGAAATAATATTATTTCAATTAAAATAATAGAAAAGCAAACAAACACACACCCCCACGACACACATAAGAATATAGACAGTTTGGTGAGGTTTTTAATAGTCACATACCCACTACAATTCAGTAAAGGGACTTAGATGCGCTAAGGCATTCCACTTGAAGTACTAAAATACTGGTTCTTAGAGGACTGGGTAAGATTAATACAAAGCTATGCACACTGGCACACTTCTGTAATCCTAGTACCCGGGCAATAAAGGTACACAGGGTTGCAAGTTTGAGACAGTGAGACCCTGTCTTCATTTGAATATGCACCTGTTACTCAGTACTCATGAGAACTGGGTATCTATCCAGGGGACCCTCAGATACTCACATCATGGATAGTTAAGTCTCTTCAAGAAAATGGCATTTGTGGTTGGCCTAGGCTTATCCTCCCATGAGATTTATCTGGAGATTACACATAACAGCTACAAACGCTACACAAATGCAATGGGAAGAGCTGTTACACTGCATTTCTTAAGGAATGGCAATGAGAAAAGGTCTGAATATATTCAATAGAGATCAAATTTTTGTTTCTACTTATTGTTGAATCCAGAGATTTGGAATTCACATCTATGGAGGCAAACTGGTAACTGCAAAAACACAGCATGCATATCTGCATTTCAATTCTTAGTTCAAAACTACAAAATTTAGAGAAAGAATTAACCCCAAAATATGAATGAAGTAAACAAGTTGGAATGTTGATAAACAGTTCAGATAAATGAAAACAATCCCGGGAGACAAAAGTAGATGAAAGGGGTTATAATTAAGAAGGAAATAATAAGGCAGGTCTATAACTGACCATGGGTTTACATTACACATGAATGATCTAAACACTCACACAAGACTGTCAAGAGATGTTTAAAACTCAAGACTAAAGTAAATGCTATTTGTAGGCTATATAAGAAGCTCATTTTAAATATGTTTAAAAATAG